CCTAGGGGGGATCACTGCACTGGAAATAAGGCATGATTGGATCTGATGCTGGATCCCACAAACACATCTTCTGCCCCTCTCCCTCCATCCCCACAAGCACTCAAAAGGAGAATGCTTGGCAGTACTGCTGCCTGTTTCTTTAGGACTTGGACCCATGTCTCAATGTGCTCCAGCTAATCGAAACCAGTTTGCAAGAAGGACAAACTCCTGCCATTTATAAATGTAATTTTAAAATTCCTACGTTTCTGACCAGGTCGTTCATAACAGTATCCATAAGGGGCCTCAGAACAGGTGTCAGTGGACAGAATTTTATTTGGGCTGTTCCCAAAAACTGAGAATAGGCTGCAGAAGCTAAGGTTAAAATGAATTATTTCCATAATAGATCCAAATAGGCAGGGTCCACTTCAGACAACAGATTTCAGAGACAGGCCTTCCTCAGAGGAAACCTGGCAGCTGATAGGCAAATACTCTGACAGGCACTATGTAAACAATTAAGAACGTATCATTTGTAATGTGTTAAATGCTTGCTTTTCTGTCTGATAGGTTTTTTTTTAGGGTGTCACTATTTCAGATTCTGTCAGGATGACGGATGGCATGAAGGCAGGGGAAGTTTTTATGAGTTGGGTTAAACATCCTTGACCCTGATGGTATTGCAACTTTGTCATTCAGGATAAATGTAAAAATCAATTGAACTCCTTTATAGAGCAATAGGGACTTCCACCAAGCTCAAAGCAGCATGCATGATTGGAGTAGTAGCTAGACATGTGGCTCAAGGGGAAGTCCTGCTGTAACCTGAAACTGAAGGACAGTGGAATTGCTGGATTTACAGCAGTGTATCTCTGTATGCGAAGGCGAAGCAGTGAGAAACCCTACAAAGATGCAAACAAAAGAAGCAGAAAACAGAGCAGGCCTGAGGAAAAACCTAGGGCATGCTTTGGAGACTCGGTTGTGGCTGTCAGGCTAAGTACAGACAGTCAAAGAGCCCAAGGCGGAATCAATTCCATTGCAGGTTAGTCTAAACTGCGTAGATTGACCCAATAAGCAAGTGAACAGACATTCACTTTTGAGTCAGGAAATGTAGCTGAATGCCTGCAGTAGCCCAGGACAGAAGCCAGGAGGCACTAGAGCATGCCTTCCTGCTCAGCTGGAGCAGACAGCTTGGAGTTTGCAGGGGAGGTGCAAAGCATCCTGGTATACTAGGTGACTGTGAGTTAACTTGAATCTGGAGGGGATCTGGGATAGAAGTTCAGTAAACCAATTTAACCTAAATCAGTTAAGTCTGATACTATACCCACGCTGATTTATCTTAAATCTGTTTTAACTATTTTGAAAGTGGTTTATGTGCACTGAACTCATTTTAGATTAGATTTGAACTGGTTTCTGACTAGTTATACTGGTTTATGTGTAATTTCTATCCCTAGGCTCAGGCTCGGACCTGCAAGCAAAAAAAAATCACTTGTGCGAATCCTCCAATTTTCAGGGAAATAGGACTTTTTGCATTCACTGTAAAGACAGGGCTACTTGAGAAAAACGTCTGGCTCTATCATGTGCTTCTAATTGAACCAACTGCCAGGATCCCAAATTTTCTTTAACTGCTTGGGTCAGAAAGGGGCAACTGTTGCATATCATTTTAATAGCATATTTAATACATTTTATGGATATCTTATTGTGCTAGTCATTCTAAAGCAGCAACATTTTTCTCTTTAAAACATTGCTGATCACTTTTCTTAAAAAGAAAAATAAGGCAGAAATGTTACTGTGTCCCAGGCTTTATTAGATATAATATAACAGCAGGGGACCTTTTATAGCTTTAGATGGCTATCTTACTTTGAATGTACTTCCAATGTACTTTGACAGATTGCTTTAAACAACCAAGTTTGCCACAAGTTCAAGCTCCAGACAACGCATAATCCATCATGAGAAATGAAAAATCCAAATAGCTAAGGCATTTTTAAAAAGAGAAAGCATACCCTGGACTAGAGTCCAAATTTATTAACAAATCACAGGTTTTACAGAAAGCCTGCCACTAAAACCAACACAGTTGTTCTGCCTAAAGACAATCAAGAAAAAAAATGTCTTTAGACTTTTCTAGGGTGCCCTGCTAAATAATGACCTACAGTGTCCAAAATTGATAACAGATCTAAAGCCAAAATCTTCATGCTACTGCTCCAGTTTTTGATGACTACAACAGTTCTTATTTCTCGCCATGTCTCTAAACCAAAAGCAAGATGGGAAAAATACTGGTAAATGTTTGATTGGTAAGTCTGAGTCAATAATGGTAGACAGAAATGACCTGCAATATTCTGCAATATCATTCTGGGAAGAAGGAGAGGGTGAAACAACCATTAATACAAAGAAGGTATCTAGATTTAGGAACCAGGAAGGTCTAATTAAGAGAGGCTGCTGCTAGACTAAGCCAGGTAAAAGCATCTGAAAAGTGACAACAAATATATTCATGTAAGGCAACACAGAAACTTGAAATACAGGAATTCAATTTCAAATTAAACAAAGCACAAGTGTCTCCTATCCATAGGAAAAGAAATACCACGTGCAAAACTAAATTCAGTGACTGCAGCAGGATTGCAAAACCCCATTAAAACATCACATGAGTGATTGAGGGGAGTAGTAAAGTGACATCAGATACTGTAAATAATGTGGAAGTCATTTCAAAGCAAACAATTTAGAGAAAGCTAGAGCTGTTAGAGTATTACTGCACTGAATATATCAACTTCTCTGTACACCATAATCAAATTTTGACATCAAAAAAACCTCTGACCAAGAGATTGGATTTGGGTGTGGAAGAACTGTAAGACCATCAGGGTTTTCCCAGGCTACTATGGGTCACAAGCTATAACAGGCCTTGAGAATAATACACACTCTGAAAGAGCACTGGTTTTAGCTAGCTGGTAAGCTGAGGGACTGTGATGCACAGGATTTGAACACTGAAAAGGGGAATGCAGAATCTAAAGGGAAGCTTTTCTTCTTTTCACTACTGCCAGGATGAAGAACAATTAATAAAATTGAAGCCATTTGGCCTAAAATCTAAATGGCTGTGCTTGTACATTGCAAACAACAGGGGCCAGTCATATCAGGTAAGGAGGTGACTAATGTGGAACCTAATTATGGTAACTAAAGCGGTACAAAAAACCTAGGTTTTACTTTGTATACATTTTGCAGAAAAAAACGTTATTTTATAGAATTTGCTTTTTTATTTTTGCACTATATAAAATTAAATATAGGAGTTATACTTAACATTATATTTTACCAACTATCCTGATTACTGATCCTTGTTTTTGTTTTTTTGAAAGGTGGTAAAAAAGTCCAAATTGAACAGATTTTTCTGCTACCTGGACTTTTTCTACGCTTACAATGGCTTGCCCTAAAAAGTCAGCATTTCCCAATGGTGCTTTTCTGAGGGTTACTGAGATATTGCCATGATTCTTTATTCTATGCTGGTATCTGTTAAAAAATGTTGGTGTTGTAGTAGCAATGGTCAAGGGTCCCATTATGTTCCATTCCCCTTGTACCATTTTTATGGCACAAAACAAGTAGAAACTGCCCACATCTACTCAGGAAGTATACAATCCGTACCAAATCCCCAGCCATAACCTAGCGTAAGGGGCAGAGAAAATGAGTGACCAGACAAGACCTTGCTTTCACTATCCTCAGCCATGAGATGGTTCCTTCGGGAGGGTTGCCAACTGGCATAGATTTGAGAAATCCCCAAAACTCTGAACTTCATTTGTGGCTGTGTTAAGAAAGCAGCCCTACTGTGCTGAAACAAGAAGAGTTTGGCTGCAGAAGAGAGTCTGGCATGTTGAAGTTTGTCAAAAATGAGACACTTTATGGAGTGGTGATTAAAAACAAGATAACTTCAAATATGGAAAATGGCTGACAAAAGATGTTCCTATACAATGGAAAATTAAAGCCCCACGGGCTAGGTAAGAAAAGTATTGTCAAGGGATGGAAGTGATAACCAGGAAGTTGTGAATCTTGCCATGTGGAGTTAATGGCTATCTTAGTAAGTAAAAATGATTCAAATTTAAAGTTAGATAAAGTATATCAGGAAGCTCTGGGAAGCATCTCAGGGAGCTCTTAGAAGCATGAAATGTCATCTGGAAGAGCCAAATATTTATTCAATTTTAAAATAGGAATGATGAGTTCATTTAACTATGCTACACAAGCTGAGAAGGATGCAAATTTAGTACGTAGCTCAAGAGGTAGATACATCGTGACTTTTTTTCTGTGTAATGTACAAAATTTAACTCAACCCTGTAGGGCACCACCTTTTGGAGGTGAGAAGTATTAAAATTCCTATGCAACTATGAGAAAATTTAATGCAAGGGAGGGGAGATTACAGTGTTTTGGGAAGGGGAAAAAATCCTATCAAATTTGGTAGTATGCCAACAAACCATGCCATTAGGGAGTATAATCATGAAATAGAAAATCTGCAAGTATAGGATATTCCAATATGCCTACAATATTTCTTTTGTTCTTAATGTCAACATTATTACGCTCTCAGTTGGAAAATACTAATCCTCTATTAATGGTCATATGTTTAATCTATTACAGGAGTACCACTTTCTGAACCTCTCTTGCCTATTAACACTGAACAACTAGAAGTAATTTTTATATTCGTCACTGTTTTAAACCATTCTTTGTATTCTCATCCTTACCTGGCACAGTTAACAAGAAAGTAACTTATGCTTTGGGTATAGCTTTGAGGGACATTCATTTCATAAAGGCTAATCAGGAATTACAAACCAAGAATGTATAAAGCCAGCCCAAAGGGGTATCACATTTTATTTCAGTGCCAGTCACTTTAATCCAAGTTGCAGCTGCAGTACTACTAGCAATCTGGCTAGTTTTTCTAGCAGATAACTCTACCCATCAAAATACTGCTCCTCTGTTCAACCTTCCAATCCCAATTAGGTTAGTCTGGTAATGGTAAAGTGTCTACACTACCCAACAAGGAGCACTGTTTACAATAATGAACAAACCTGTGTGCTGCGAAGAAAGGGAATCAGCAGTAGCTCTTTGTACGGGGCTATTGTTTCTCATGAGTCCCTTCCTGAAATCAAGCGGCCCAAGGGATTCATTGTAATGGTACCTGTGTAAAATAAATAATAAAAAAATAAATAAAAAAGGCTTCTCTGTAAGGTAATCCTTTAGAGATATACAAAGTGATTAGCACATTTGGCTTTGAGAAAACAATCTGCTTTTATGCACTTTGGATTTAATAAGCCATGTTAAGAATTCACCATATTCATGCTCTACCCTCTATAAGATTACTATCAGCGACAGTTAACACTCTTGCCAAGTCACAAACACTTTGTGCACTGGCATATCATTTGTAAATTACCTTTGAAAAAGCCTCTTTATTAGTTGTGTTGGTGCTAGTAGCACTCTATATTTTAAAGCATCACTTGAGATTTACTAAAAGCAGGATTAAAATCTATTTCATGCTTTAATCATTGCATTTACTTTCTGGATTAAATATAACTTCTCAGAGGACCCAGACATTTCAATAATGTGTTTGTTAAAATATTCAGTCTTGGAAAGGAGATGTCTCCAAAGTTTACTCTCCAAAAGTCTGCTTTTGCCTTTCCTTTACTTAAGGGACCACAGTCCACATAAATTCCAAGTACACAATTCTCCTCAGATTTCAGACATTGATACTTTTCAGATTTTACTGCATCTAGATAGACCGTCATAGGTGCCAGCATTCACCAGTAACTTCCAGTCTCCATCACTGCTTCACCAGTCATCCTCCCTTGGCTCCCTCCATGGTTCCTGGCAACAGGCCTCCATGGTTATGTGCTTCCTGCTACCAGTCTCCCTGCAACTGGATTATCCTCAGTAGTAGTAATCCAAGTCCAAATGCACTGACTTAAATCTGACATATTCACAGTGAGTTTGCACCAAAAATTGCTTTTATAGAGCTGTAGACCTTTGTTCCCTAATATCTTTGCCTGTCAGTATCCTCTTCTCCACTACATCCCGTGCTTTCCCAAACAGGAGGGACAGTGTCTTAGACAGTTGGCTGAGAAGGCAGATTACTCATCAAGTAAAAATTGTGGTAGACCTGTACTCCAGACAACACTGAGTCATAAAAGGGGTGAATGTAGTTCAGTGTGTTCACGAGCACAGACTAATTGTCAGATATAATTAACTAATTATCCAAATAAGTCATGCTTGTCCCCTGACTCATGGGCCACATCCACACACGAAGGCATGTGTGGTTTATGGCACCACAAACTGCAAGCATTGAACGTTAAAACGTGTACCATGCTGGTAATTTGCAGTGCAGTGTCAAAATTGCTACTGGGATTTCCCAGTAGCAAAAATAAAAAAATGCTGGAAAAATGCAGTGCAGAGTATGTGTAAAAAGTGTGTGCCAGGAAGAAAAGAGGCCTGGTCCTCCAGTGTGATGCTCTGGCTACTGGCCAGGTGTCTCTATTGCTTTGCTTGTGCCTCTGCTGCTACAGTATGTTATGTGGCATACTGAGAGCAAACAGAAGTGCAGCAGGGCTCACAGCTGCCTGCTTCTGAGCCTACTGGGCATTCAGGGCCTGGCATCCGCAGAGGCACCCAGAGCCAGCAAGGCTCCTTAAAGCTGGGCACTTGGGGCAGCCATACCACTGCTCCAGAGGCCCAGCCACTGAGGCCTGGGCCTGAGCTACCAGCCCCAGGACCTCTGTATGAGGGCTACCTAGGTCACAACTGCAGGCACCACTGAACATCAGGAGGCACCAGTGTCCACTCTGGGCAGCATGAGTGACTGTGGTGATGCAGATGGGGAGGACCCAGTCACAGGAGTCTGCCCAGGGACCTGGCTGGTGGCCCGAGGTTACTGACCTCCTGGCCATTTGGAGCCAGAAGGCTACACTGCAGCAGTCTGCCCAGGGACACTGGAATGAACATGTTTACTAGGCAATTGCTGCACAGATGGCCAAACAGGGGCATGCCAAAACGTGGCAGCAGTGCCAGAGCAAAGCCAAGGTACTGCACAGGTAATTTCATGCTGTGAGCAATGCCAACCAGGAGGCAGGGCAGTCTACCATGGCCCACTGTCAGGAGCTGGCCAGAATCCTTGGCCCTACAGCCACGGCCCCCGCCCCCCTCCCCGCTACTCCTTCGCCACCAGGGGAGGAGCAGAGCCTGGAGCAACCAGCCCTGTGACCTGGCTGGAGTCCCCAGAGGCAGGGTCCTCCTGGAGGCCTGCATCAGCACTGCCACCCAGCCATGCCAGGAGTGACGATGAGGAGCGACTCATGCCACAGGCAGAACCCGTTGCCAGTCAGGCTCGAGGTGACACCGGAGCACCAGCTCTGCCGGCTCCTGCCTGACACCAGTGGTAGCGGAGAGGAGGCTGAGTAACAGGCCAGTGTATCGCATATATTAATGGAGGCCACATCCTGGCAGCCTCAATGCCAGGCCTCAAGGCCTCATCCCCATTTGAGGCCAGGTCCAGCTATGGCTCTGATTTCCTGCCCCCCAGGTTCCCTCCTCCCTGTGTCTCCTTTCCTGGTGCCATACTCCAGGTAACGGGCCTGCAGATGGGTGGTGATGGCCTCACATGCTCTGGCTCTTGTGTACTGCCATCGGGGGGAGGGGGTGGTGGGCCTCATCTACGACAATGTTTCTGGCTGGCCAGCTCTACTGCTACTGTCACTGGATGCACCGTGATACATGCATGGCTGGATGCAACTATGGTGCTGCAGGGCCGAGGGGGTGGATGCTGTGGTGGGGAGGGTACAGGGGCCACTCTAGGTCAGGGCTGCTGCAGCAGTCCAGCTGGCACAAGGGGCTAGCATCCCCAAACACCAACATGTCCGGCTTGAGAAGCTCCTGAGTGAAAGTAGCCATGAGCTGCTCACCAGACCACCAGTTGTTACTGCTGGGGCTAACACAGGTGCTAGCCCCAGCCTCCAGCTCTCCCTTGCTGAAGAGCTGGGAGGAGCTGGGCAAGGGTGGTTTGCCCAAAGTAGCACAATTTGTTCTGCGGTTAAGTGTACATTCAGGCATATGCGTCTATGCACAAATTATTGGCACAAATTTGTGCTGCTACTATTTGTGCTGCTTCAAGCCCATGTCCCTGCATGTGTGGATGCAGTCATGGTGTACAAGGAACCTATGGCACTTCTGTGCAGAATCCTAAACTCACAAAGAACAAATCTCATTTTTCTGCATTGCAATGAATGCTACTTACCTCAGAATTTATTTCACAACTAAAAGTAGGTAGCAATTCACAGAAAATGCCTTTACTTGGATCCACATCTAGCAAAGCGCACAGAATTTAGTAGTTCAGAGAGGGAGAGAGGAATAAGTTTTATTACTCTTTTTAAGTATACCAAGCAATGTAAAGCTGCTGAAGCCTTTGTGCAGCACAGAAGTCAGGGGGCTATTTCATCAAAACAAATCCATAATAAAGAAAGAATATGATCAAGAATTTACTTTTTTGAACTTCTAAATCCCTATGCAAAAGTTTCAGGGACACAGCCCAGAAAAACTCAGGGAAGTCTAAATTACTTGCCAAATATCAGCATATGTAAATTAGAGAAATAAAAATAAATATTAATTAAATATATTAAATTTAAATTTTCATTTCCTACTACTTTTAATTAGGGGGAGAGAAAAAAGATTTCACCAAAAAGTCTGTAACCTTTGCCAAATTTAAAAACTAAATATGATCAGATCTATCTATAACTGACAACTAACAATATTGCCACAAGGATCTCTCCTTAAAATTCAGGCTTGCCACATCTATTGGGAAACTTATGCAGTATCTACAGCTTCTGATGAAAAGTGACAATTTAATCAGGTTAAGAAAAAAACGATATAATATCAAGAGCCTTTTATGTGCCCCTTTATACCACATGGTATACCAGCATAGTAAAATATGTAGTTCAAAATATCGATGAGAAGAAACATCACAGTACAATAATGCTGTGCCTTTTTTTGACCTGTACCGTCATTATATTAGAATGCCGTTCAGTTTGCTTCTGGAACTCTAGAAAGATTTTCAGTAGGGAAA